CTTCCCCCCTGATGTCAAGGGCTTCATTACTCTGCACATTTTTCTTTTACCAAACATTTTTCCGAATCTATCCTCATCACTTTAATCCCCTTAAGCCATTCAACTCCATTCTATAGTTTTTCTGAAAATCACTGGGTTAACAAAAAAACTTCCAATCTAAAATTTTTAACATTCCCTATCTTAAAAAACCTTTGCTAACTAGAAAAAAAATTGTTTTGTTGGGTTTTCAATCTTGCGATGGGGGGCCCCCTTTTTGGTGGAAAAAGCCCCAAATGTTCATTTTTTCAGGCAGGGGGTGGTACCAAACAATTTTTAGCAACCAAATTTTTAGTCTACATGTTTAATTAAAATTTAAAAAAACAATTCCAATTACGAATGTGTAACTATTTATTTCTAAAACTATTGGAAAAATTTAGCCTCCATACCTGTTGCACCCACTGCCTGTGACTTACACAAATTCAAAAAAGATAAATTTCCCAAGCCCCTCATGTACTTTCCCGCACTCACCCCTTACCAAGTCATAAAATCCTTCACCAAAGTCAACAGCCCCAACACTTCCCCAATAAATCCCGCCAACATGTTTTGCAAGGGTTCCTGAAATGCCTGGGGTTAACAGAAAAACATTTTCAATCTCAAAAGTAACAATGTAACCTAAGCAATTTTTTTTATTAAACAAATACAAACTTTTCTATTTTTTGGGACTGTCGTTTGGTGAGAAAATTTTTCCTTTTAAAGCATGTTCGAAAAAACAGACCCTTTTTGAGTAGAACCACCAAATTTTCCCTACTAGCTAGTTAGAAAAAGGTTTTATTGAGACAAAGGGGGCAGGGCACCTTTTTTAAAGTAAACCACCACTTTTAATACATAGCTTAGTTTGAAAACAAAAATGGAAATTTTTTAAACTTGGGAAAAAACAGAACCCTTTTAAAGGGAAACCCCCCTTTCCCAAAACATAGCTAGTTAGAAAACCAGAAATGGAAATGCCTTTATTGAGACTTACTTGTGACTTCAAAAGCAAATTTTACCTGACCATACAAAGTGTTCATCTCTCTCCACACTGAAACAACTTCCAATCTTACAAATCTGCCAGCCCAGAGGTGTAGAAAGCTATTCCATACCATATCCTTCTTGCGAGTATAAAGTCGCTGGACCTCTCGAAGAATTGATAGTCTCGATCAACTTCCACCATGCATGTCAAGTACTTCATTACTCTGTCACAGCTGTGCTTTTACCATCCATTTCCTGACATCTATCCATCATCACATTTAATGCCACTTAAGCCATTCAGACTCCATGGTCTATAGGTTTACTGAAAAGTCACTGGGTTAACAAAACAACATTCCAATCTCAAAATGTTAACATTGACCATATCTTAAACAAACCCTTAGCTAAACTAGAAACAATTGTTTAGTTGGTTGTCAAGTCATATGGCGACTGGCCGGCCTCCTTTATTGGTAGGAAAAATGCCCCAAATGTTCATTGTTTCAGGCAAGGGCTGGTACCAAACAGATTATAGCAACCAATATTCCAGTCTACATGCCTCCATACATGTTGCACTCCAGCTGTCCTATGACTTACACAAATTCAAAATAGATAATTTACCAATGCTCCATCATGTCACTTTCCAGCACAATCACACTTCACCAATGTCATAAAAATCACTTCACCAATGTCACACAGCCACACACATTCCGACATAAATCCAGCCAACATGTTGCAAGGGTTCACTGAAATGTCACTGGGGTTAACAGAACAACATTGCAATCTCAAAAAGTAACAATGTAACCTAAGCAATTTTTCTATTAAACAGATACAATTCTATGTTCTATTTTGGTGACTGTCAAGCTTTAAAGGTAGAGGAAAATGTGCCTTAATGACATTGTTTCGGACAAAGACAGACACCTTTTAAGAGTAGAACCACCAACTTTCCAATACATAGCTAGTTAGAAATCAAGAAATGGAAATGGCTTTATTGAGACTTACTTGGGACAAAGACAGACACCTTTTAAGAGTAGAACCACCAACTTTCCAATACATAGCTAGTTAGAAAACTAGAAATGGAAATGCCTTTATTGAGACTTACTTGTGACTTCAAAAGCAAATTTTACCTGACCATACAAAGTGTTCATCTCTCTCCACACTGAAACAACTTCCAATCTTACAAATCTGCCAGCCCAGAGGTGTAGAAAGCTATTCCATACCATATCCTTCTTGCGAGTATATAGTCGCTGGACCTCTCGAAGAATTGATAGTCTCGATCAACTTCCACCATGCATGTCAAGTTCTTCATTACTCTGTCACAAGTGTGCTTTTACCATCCATTTTCAGACATCTATCCATCATCACATTTGAGGCCACTCAAGCAATTCAGACTCCATGATCTAAGTGTTTACTGAAAAGATATTTGGTTAACAAAACAACATTCCAATCTCAAAATGTTAACATTGACCATATTTTAAACAAACTCTTAGCTAAAGAAGTAGCAATTGTTAAGTTGGTTTTCAAGTCATATGGCGACTTGCCGGCCACCTTTATTGGTAGGAAAAATTCCCCAAATGTACATTGTTTCAGGCAAGGGCTGGAACCAGACAGAGTATAGCAACCAATATTCCAGTCTACATCGTTATAGACTTTAAATCTACAAAAGACAATTCCAATCTACTGAATGTGTAACTGATTTATTACTAAGCTATTGAAAAATTGAGCCTCCATACCTGTTGCACAACAGCTGTCCTGTGACTTACACAAATTCAAAATAGATAATTTACCAATGCTCCTACATGTCACTTTCCAGCACAATCACACTTCACCAATGTCATAAAAATCTCTTCACCAATGTCACACAGCCACACACATTCCGACATAAATCCAGCCAACATGTTGCAAGGGTTCACTGAAATGTCACTGGGGTTAACAGAACAACATTGCAATCTCAAGAAGTAACAATGTAACCTAAGCAATTTTTCTATTAAACAGATACAATACTATGTTCTATTTTGGTGACTGTCCAGCTTTAAAGGTGGAGGAAAATGTGCCTTAATGACATTGTTTCAGACAAAGACAGACACCTTTTAAGAGTAGAACCACCAACTTTCCAATACATAGCTAGTTAGAAAACAATAAATGGAAATGGCTTTATTGAGACTTACTTGGGACAAAGACAGACAATCTTTAAGAGTAGAACCACCAACTTTCCAATACATAGCTAGTTAGAAAACAAGAAATGGAAATGGCTTTATTGAGACTTACTTGGGATAAAGACAGACACCTTTTAAGAGTAGAACCACCAACTTTCCAATACATAGCTAGTTAGAAAACAAGAAATGGAAATGGCATTATTGAGACTTACTTGGGACAAAGACAGACACCTTTTAAGAGTAGAACCACCAACTTTCCAGTACATAGTTAGCTAAACAACTAGAAATGGCAATGCCTTTATCAAGACTTACTTGTGACTTCAAAAGCAAATTTTACCTGACCATACAAAGTGTTCATCTCTCTCCACACTGAAACAACTTCCAATCTTACAAATCTGCCAGCCCAGAAGTGTAGAAAGCTATTCCATACCATATCCTTCTTGCGAGTATAAAGTCGCTGGACCTCTCGAAGAATTGATAGTCTCGATCAACTTCCACCATGCATGTCAAGTTCTTCATTACTCTGTCACAGTCCACTTTCTGACATCTATCCATCATCATATTTGGTGCAACTCCATGGTCTGAAAGATCACATCCATCATCATATTTGATGCAACTCCTCGGTCTGAAAGATCACAGGGGTAACAAAACAACATTCTAATCTCATAATTTTAACATCTACAATATTTTTACAAATAACTATCCAACTAAACAGACAACTACTTGCTATTTAATGGTTTAAAGTTATGTGCCAGATGAAAATATACCATTAAAGTGCAAGGAGTAGCAAACTGACATTATGAATAGAACCACTGACCTTCCAGTCTAGCTAGCTAAAGACAATCAACTGTTATTCTCAACTGAATAAAATAATCTTTTTAAACTCAGTTCTTTTCTTGAAAACCCCATTTAAATCAAGTAAAATATAGTAAAATACTCAAATTGTGTACAAAAAAATGTTACTATGATAAAATCCTTAAAATAAAGTAATGTTTAGTAAAATACCCAATTGCTCCATCATGCCTCATTCCAACACATACACAGTCATCATCATATTTGGTGCAACTCCATGATCTGAAAGATCACATCCATCATCACATTTGATGCAACTCCATGGTCTGCAAGATCACATCCATCATCACACATTTGATGCAACTCCATGGTCTGAAAGATCACATCAAACATCATATTTGGTGCAACTCCATGGTCTGAAAGATCACATCCATCATCACATTTGATGCAACTCCATGGTATGAAAGATCACAGGGGTAACAAAACAACATTCTAATCTCATAATTTTAACATCTACAATATTTTTTACAAATTACTTTCCAACTAAACAGACAACTACTTGCTATTTAATGGTTTAAAGTTATGTACCAGATGAAAAAATACTATTCAAGTGCCAGGAGTAGCAAACTGACATTATGAATAGAACCACTGACCTTCCAGTCTAACTAGCTATAGACAATCAACTGTTATTCTCAACTGAATAAAATAATCTTTTTAAACTCAAGTTCTTTTCTGAATGAAAAATCCATTTAAATCAAGTAAAATATAGTAAAATACTCAATAATACCTGAAATTGTTCACCAATTTAGACAACACAATTTACAAATTTGTGTACAAAAAAAGTTAATATGAAACTAAAGTAATGTTTAGTAAAATACCCAATTGATCCATCATGCTTCATACCAACACATACATAGCCATCATCACATTTGGTGCAACTCCATGATCTGAAAGATCACAGGGGTAACAAAACAACATTCTAATCTCATAATTTTAACATCTACAATATTTTTTTACAAATTACTTTCCAACTTAACAGACAACTACTTGCTATTCAATGGTTTAAAGTTATGTGCCAGATGAAAATATACCATTAAAGTGCAAGGAGTAGCAAACTGACATTATGAATAGAACCACTGACCTTCCAGTCTAACTAGCTATAAACAATCAACTGTTATTCTCAACTGAATAAAATAATCTTTTTAAACTCAAGTTCTTTTCTTAATGAAAAATCCATTTAAATCAAGTAAAATATAGTAAAATACTCAATAATACCTGAAATTGTTCACCAATTTAGACAACACAAATTACAAAATTATGTACAAAAAAGTTACTATGATAAAATCCTTAAAATAAAGTAATGTTTAGTAAAATACCCAATTGTTCCATCATGCCTCATTCCAACACACACTTTGCAAATCTTGCACAACCATCCACATCCACTATAATTTCAATGTAGGACCAGGACCCTCCAACCTCTTCTATTCAAAGGGAATATATTATTATAATTTTACAATTAGAAGAACCTGGCAACTTCCGAGTACTGTAGATCTACAAGTACAAAAAATATAGGTATTAAAACACAAACATATTAATTGGTCAGTTTCATAATATGTACAAGACTTCTAAACTAAACTAACTGTAATAAACATAACATTAAAAGGAGTGGCTTATACATCAAACAACAGGTCTAAAGAGAGTGGGGAATGGGTGAATGAATTAATACACATTATAGCTATTTTATAGGTGGGTAAGATAAAAGGCAAATATTCATATCAAATACACTAGCATCAAATCAAATACAATAAAGCAGTATGGTTATGATTATAATAATGAAGAGAAATGACAAAAGTATAAATCAAAATTCGGCAGGAGCTAACATCACGATTATATCTAAAAACGCGCGCGATGACACAGACTGACCAGACTCGCATGACCAGCATGAACACATTCCTATCAACTAAACTAACATAATTTTATACATAAAAGAAATCTATAAACATTTTAACATTTTATAAAGGAAGGGACAAAAGGGGAGCACATTAGGGTTATTTTATAGGTGGGTGTGATAATTTAAATTAGAGTTATTAAATAGGTATTATGCAATTTCGGCACATTTAAAATCGCGAGTAAACGCATTGCGAAGCCAGGCAGAATCGCATTTTAAAACAATTGGACGAGCACAGCCCAATTTCTAATTTCATAACATATCAACTAAAATAACACTAATACTATAAACATTTTGGCAGGAAATACCCTGAAAAACAACAATTCAGTACCACTATACATATCACTAAATTACTTTACTACTATCACTAACAACGCAAAAATTATATTTTAAAACATTTTTTAGACTATCATAAACCCTTTTCAACATCAACATACTGTGTATATGCACAAATTACACAAAAATATATTTGTTAGTAAAGAGTGGTAGGAAATATATCTCTATATATAGAGAGATCTATGCACCAAATTCGTACATGTATATACGTCAGCACGCGGGAGATATTTTATAAACAAAAACCGCCGATGTATAGAACGTCGCGCGATTAGCCAGCTTGATCTAAATCGACTTCTCAAACCGCTTTGATCAAGTAAAATAACATATGCATCATAATAAATGAACACTAACAGCTAAAAATAGCACATCATTTCTACGTGCAAATGTACGTACCTGGCTGTAAAAATAAGCAGGTACACAACACAGGCCGGTAGCTGGAAAATAAATTAAGAATTTAATCGACACAATTCGTAAAAATCAACAAACTTACTTTCCTATCAGGGAACACCAGTCCTTCCATCTTCTCGGTACGACTTTCCCTCCAAAAATAATGTTGGCTGTTGATAAACACTCAAATGGTCACGTGATCTGAAATGTGTGAAGCGGAACGGGAAAAAATTCGATTCTCGGACCTTTTCATTATTGAACAAGGGGGTGTCGAATGCATAGAGGTACGATAATTCTTAAGCAATGTGAAAGGGTACGTGAAAAATAACGTGGGTAAGAGCCGGTTTGCTTCATATATTTGTTGCATGTTGTACATTTTGTTCGAATAATAAAGTGCACGCGGAGCAGGCTATACACTTAACAAATCTTATAAGTGTGCACCTTTTATGTCCTTATAACTTTTTTGTTCATCAATATTTCTTTACAAAATTTTGTGTTCCGACTATCGGCTGCATTTCCACACTTTTCCCGTGCTCAAACTTGTCAAATTTAATTATGCGGCGCGTTCAACCGTGAACGTACAAAATTCACACACTGCACGAAAAAAGTGTTTGAGTGCGTGAAAGAAAATTGCACATGATATTCTCGAATACAACAGAGATCCACATATCAGAAAAACATAACATATGGGTACATTATCTATTCAACAGCGTGGCATAGCCCTAGGATCGGTCTACGCTGGAGTACACCAAGCAGAGATTGGTAAAAAATAATTTGTTTATATAATTATTTAAAATCCATTGCATTGCATTGTTAAAGCTGAAAATCATTTAAATTCAGTTCCTACCAAAGACGAACATAATTGCATATTTGTTTTTTACTTATTACATGTTTATATCATTTGGAGGTTGCGCAACGCATGGTGTTCACCGCAATGTAATAACAAGGCTTATGAAGGCTTATCTTCATAACAGAGTAACTGGTAGCGTTTATAACATTCCTCATCGACCCCAAAATTATCTCCAACGGTATGTTACATTGATGCGACGACGCTCCAAGGCTGTAATACACAGTCAGAGTGGCACACACGGTTTAAGAACATCATTTTGCAACATCGACTTTCGACACGCACTCAGATTATTTAGAAATACATCTTAAAATTTATCTTGAATGAAAAAAAAAACAAATAAAAAAATAACCTGTCTGTTTTCTGTATTTATTGAAAATTTCAGCATGATCGGGCAAATATTGATACACCTATGAGACCATTTATGCATGCACACTTAAAAGACTTGTTAAGTGTATACTTGTGTATGAGAAAGATTTCTATCATAGGCAAAAGTAAAAACACGTTCCCTGTTATCACAACATGAAACCCCAGAAAAAAGTAATCAATGAACGATCATCTGAATATGATATTTCTATCGCTATCCCATTCTTTGCCGTTCCAGATAAAATGAGCCAATCAATGGACATGCTCTGGAGCGCAGGTAACTAATACCTGCACTCCAGTTAACGAAATATGCATGTATATAATTATGTACATGATTTAAGTCTGACACATTTTCAAGAGAAAGGTCCCCAAAGTATGATACACATGAAGAATATATTTCATGGTAAGGAGAAAGCTATTGAGGTTATTTGTTTCTTCAAATGCCACCAGCAACCTGACAAACATTTTAAAAGAATACAATAACAAATATATTGAAACAGATACTTGATTAGTAAAAGCACTAATTAACGTGTTAACTAAAAAGCAAAACTATAAAATCACGAAAAAAGAACGTCAAGAATTATTCGCAAATATCTCACAATATTTCCGTATTTCTTACTGTACGCATGATAATTGGTTCGATAAACTAACTGTACGCAAAACATTTGCCCCTTACGATGAGTGTTATGCATGACCGACTGATGTCTGTTCTCTGGGCATTAGCAATTAGTTACCGATATATGGTGAAAATAATGAACAATTACCTATAGCATATGCGTATGGTTATATAACACCTCAAAATATTATATAGCACTCCAAAATATTATATAGCACTCCAAAATATTATATAGCACTCGAAATAGACACATTTAAACTTTAGGACAGTTCATACTGGAGAAAAAGTCTTCCCGCTCTGAAACGATGAAACACTAAACCGACATGTGTTTTCTGTGTGTGTGTGTGTGCTGATATAAACCCCAACAAGAGGCTTTACATATATTATTCTATTAAACAATAAAGTACATAGTTAGCAAAATTAACATATATAGTATTCAAATTTAGTAACAATATATACGAAACACAGTCGAATTTTAGCACAACGAAATTGTACATCAGAACTGCAAACTATCCGAATGGATATACACATTATAGCTCTTAAGTTCACTATTGCCTTGGATGTTTGTTCAAATCCAAAATGAAATTATATAAACTATCAAATTCTTTCTTTTGCACGCCATTGGTTTTATCCTAAAACTAACAACGGCAAAATCTGTCTTTCTGCAACCTTGTAACGCATTCTAGATAGTACATTGCACTCCCATTGACGTTTTCTTTTTTTCTAACTGCCTCAGAACTCCTTTCTTAAGTTCATGGAATCAGAAACATTTTATTGGAATAAAACATTTAAGTGAAGAAGGATAAAAATTCAGTTATGATAAATAGTTTACCTATTCAATGCAAAGAAAATGTTCAAGTTTCAGACAATGGGAATTAAATGAAAATTCTGTTTCGCGTTTTCGATAAACTGCATACAATTTGAAGTCATTTACTTCAGATG